TAGCTACTGTTGTATAGGTGGTTTGCAACCAATCTCTAGAGAAATAGGTAACAATGGTGAAAGGAACAAATGCTGGTGGACGAAAAATAGGAGCTAATGAGATATCTATTGTTTACGTCCACCAACATGGCGGCAATGACGTAACGTGCAAACAACCCATAGTTGTAGAGTATTGAAAAGGAACAGACTGACAGCAGTTTTCATAAAAATAACGACACATTTGAAACTAAATTTATAAGCCATGTTTCGGTCGTTCAATGACCATCTTCAGTTGAGAGTGGAACTGATTTGAAGTTACATTTGAATTTATAATGTAGTGCTAAACAAAAGCTATTGAAACTAACAGAATAGCCAAAGGTAACAAAAGAGTGCATAATATGGCGTGCTAATTAGAACGAAAGAGTTCAATTAACGTGATATAGTTGCTTGTTTAAAGAAGGTTATTCCCAGGAAATATGTAACGCTTCCTTTATCTTGACCTGAAATCTTGTGGTCGTATGATCTATAACTTTAAAACATTCAGCAGAGCAGGAATTGCGGCTATTCTGTTAGTTTCAATGGCTTTTGTTTAGCACTACATTATAAATTCAAATGTAACTTCAAATCAGTTCCACTCTCAACTGAAGACGGTCGTTGAACGACCGAGACATGCCTTATAAATTTAGTTTCAAGTGTGTCGTTATTTTTGTAAGAATTGTAGAGTATTACAGTAGAAAAGAAATGTGGTGTAAAATATGGAGGGGTTAATGAACAGTCTTATCGATTCCAAACTTGATTAGAGCAGAATTTGAACACTGTTCAATTGACAGGCCAAATAGGTACATGTATTTCAACACATTTTTAAAAATGTGCGTGAACTTTACTTCAATATGAAAGCTCGCCACTTGGTACGCTCTGCGTACCTGGCGCTAGGGATATACCAGTCCTACTCTACTCGAGTCCGAAAGGATAAGCATCAAGCTTTGGCTGCGTCAATTTCTTTTGTCTTTTCCTTATTTTTTTTTTTTTTCGTTTCTTTTCTTTTCTCATTTAAATTTCATTTCATTTCAATTTAAATTCTTCGCCAAAAAATATGTCAGATATGTTCAGAGTAAACGCACATGTGCGAACGCTTGACCGCATAGCTCATGCAAAGAATGACACGTTACCCGACCTCCCCGAAACAATGAATTTTACATACTGCCCGCCCCCTCTCGATGTCCTGTCCCCCCCCATGACAATTATTGCGCAATCCTTAAACAGAGCGATCTACACCATTTTGAAAAAGATAAACAATTAATATGGATGTTTGGATGTCTGGATGATAAACCTTCACAA